TAGATGGACTATCTGTTTCAGGGCTCAGGGTGTGTAGATCAAATATCTATCTCTGTTTAGAATTGAGTAAGTGGGTGATGGGGGGGGGGAGCTTGACATCAATACTGTCGTAAGCTGATAAAACTTTTTATTCGCTAAATCGAAAGCCTGATCAGTTCCCCTGTGTGTGTGAAAGAATAAAAGTGAAACTGTGACTAGTTGTTGAATAAATTAGATTCCAAAATTCGCCAGCGCTCTTATTTTTCAATGGCTACACTGACAAAAAAACTCTTTTTCTCGAAACTGCTGTGAATAAGGAAAAGTCATTTTTGACAGCTTACAGCAGAATAGAATTTCTGTTTCAGGGTGTGTAGGTAGAATATCTATGTCTGTCCGGAAGTGTGACCAATCAACCACATGTTTGCTTTTTGTCTCTCCCTAGGACAAAGACCCGGAGAGCTTTGAGCTGATCGAGGTTCTCCTGGACAAGGGTGTCACGGAACGGAAGGTGGAGCGCACCGCCAAACCGTTTCAGATTATGGTGCACAGTCGCAGGGTACGTAGTGTGCGCTTCTCCCTTCTGAAAGTCGCACATACAACTAACTACAACAACATAAATTGAAATAAAATCTTCCACACATAATTTTTAAAATGATTTTCTCTTCTAGCGTCTTTTTGCCTTCAGTAATTTTATTTATGAAATTTTTTTTAAAATCTAGGTGTTTTTATATCCCCATCATCATCATCATCATCATCAGTGCCTTTCACCCCTGACAGGGTATAGGACTCATTCAAGCTCCTTCTATAGGCCACGTACAAACTCCTTCCATTTATCTCTGTCCTGGGCCATCTTTCCTAGCTGGTTCCAAGTGAGCTTCATCTATCTCTCTCCTGTCCCTTTCCGTACATCGTATCCCGATGGACATGGTTTAAATCATTTCGGAGGCAGGCTTTGACCCCGCTTGTCAGGACCAACTCGGGCTGAGAGGGATACAATGTCTCGGCAGAAAGATGGAGATGCTCAACAAAATCCCCCCCCCGCAACATCTTCAGTATGTAATGACAGTGTCAGATTGCAACTCCACAGACGCCAGTTTTTTGTTTTGTTCCTAGAAAGATAGGGAAATGATACTAGCTGTCGTCAGGTGCAGGAGAGATGGCAACTATTACTATTTTAAAACATCTGGACATGTGTTGTCCGAGTCTTGTGTGTTGTGTTCTTTGTCTGAAGAGAATCATTTGTTCTTGGCGGGACAGCTCATGGTTCTTGTTTGGTGTCTGTGGTGTGTTAAATAGTCTTCTTCTTCTTCTCGATCGCACACTTGAAGTCTGGTATCTGTCATAAATTGGGCCATCCTGCTCAGTTCATCTGTCGGCCTGTATAGCTTCTCTTGTAGTGTCAGTGGGGTTGGCCACGTTTCCTGTCTCAGGGCCCTGTTAAATAGTGTTTTTAACTCTGTATCTCCGGCAAGACGCTCCCAGCGGCTAACGATCGGAACCCCTGTGATGTTGAGATGCTGACAGCGAGTCGGGCACATTCCTTTACGACGACGTCGACATCGAGTTCATTTTTTCACAATTGGTCTTTTTTTCATCGGGATTTCATTCATTAGATTAAGAACTATCGAAATAGGTCCACTTGTTTTAATTTAATGACCAATTTAGTGATGTTTTCGTCATTTTTAGATTTCGAACCAAAAAGGGGCCTCAGCATAGTGGGTTTATCCCCCACGGAGATAAAGAGTTAATGAGGGGAACACACACCCCCTCCCCCCCTCCCTCCCATGAGTCCTGTTTCTGAACTGATCAGTATGGTATACATGTTTTTACTTTTCAGGAGTCGCTACGTCAAAACCGCATGACGAGGTTCTATTTGCAACAAAAGGAAGACCCTCACGGGCCGAGCATATCTCTGTATGTCGGCAATCTGCCCACTGGTCTCTCTCAAAGGCAGTACGAGAAGATCCTGGTGGACATTATTGGGAAAGGTAAAGTTTTTTTACCCCGTTATTGTTCATCTTCGACTTGTTGTTCTTGTTGTTCTTGCTGAGACAGAGACAGAGAGAGAGGGGGGG